TTTAAAATTTCCGCACTTGTCTTTGAGAAAAAACTTGCATAAAAAAAACTGAATTCCATTTTATTCTTTTTAGTTTGTAGTTCAAAATATGGGTGTTATAACAATAAACACTCATAAAAAATTGTAGATAACTATTTTAAAAACAAACATGTATTTAAGGTACTGTAAAATGCTAATTTTGAGATAAATGCATTTAATTACTTGAAATCATCAGTAAAAATCTGGCTCAAAACTACTATAACTTCGTAAATAACTGGATAACAAACTAAAGTAAAGTATTTTTCATTATATTCAGGGATTCTAAATTTATAATAAACTCAATTGATAAAATTTTGCCCAAAGTCATGTTTTTACACTAGTCCTTAATCTTATTTGGAACTACTTAAAAGTATAGCGACAATTCACAATAACATGTTTAATAGTTGTAATGTCAAGTTAGTTATATCGCGCAAATTTATTGTTTAACTATTAATTTGAATGACTAGAGAGTTATAGTTTGTAATAACATTTCGCTTCATCTACAGAGCAAAAAATTTTAATATATCTCGACGCTAAAATAGGGGCAACTACTTTGCACCATAAGAGTTCAACTACACAGAGAGCCAATTATGGTTTCTGGTAAGATATAATACCCATAAAAGGCAGTAAAGAATTTTTAGAATACAATATAAAGTAAGAATCATTAACTTAGGAGACATCAATACGGTATTTACTGAAATAAAATCTATTTGTTTATCAAACATGCACACAGAACTGGTAGAATATTAATATGAAATAAGGCTAAGCTTAATTTCTTAATGATCTTATTATTTTCCAAAAAATGGTCATAAAAGTTGTAATTTTTTTATTCAAGAAAATTATATAAAAAAAGGTGTATATGTGGCGCCAGGCATGGTGCGTAGGCGCCAAAAGAATCAACGGGATTACAAACACATGATCGGCAACCTTGGAACTGCCCCAGTATTTAAGAAGCTTCGAACTTTACTCAGTCTCTATCCCACACAGTCCTACTTAATTTTATGTTTCTGTTTTAGCTTGTTATGTTCAATTGTTAAATAAATGTTTAGTTTATTGTCGTCATAGTTGTCTTCAACTTAATATGAGAGGGTTCCTCCCCCCCAATTGGTGACCCTTGTGTTTATTATGTTTTTGGATACACTATTATCCGCTGTTTTACAATTTGGAATAACTGCTTGAATTTGGTAATGTACAATTTCCTCTCTTATTTAGTCAACTGCTTTGCTTTGCACTACTTAAAATTTAAACTTAATGTATTGTAATATCTTTTTATTGTACAATGTTAGACTGAAATTTTTTAACATTATTGTAAGAGACTTTAATTAGTAGTTATTGAATTTGAATATACGAACTTTAAATGCTGTTGTATATATTTCTTAGTATAATATTTTTAGTTCTGAAACATTCTTAGTTATGTAAATACTTATTTTTACTGTGAATATTTCCAGATATTCTCTAGTTATTGAATTGTTCTAATGTATATATATACATATATATAACTAGTTTAGTTTGAAAATTTTCATAAGTGAATCTTTAACTAGTTTCTTAGTTTGTGTTACAATGACTGATAAAGATAAAACGGGAACTGAAACTGAAATTCATAAAATTGGCCTTCGCTTACCTGGATTTTGGATTGATAATCCAAGTCTATATTTTACGCAGATTGAGGCTAATTTTAAATTATCAGGGATTACTTCTGAATCTACTATGTATTACTGTTTAATCTCTGTTCTTGATCAGAATATTATGCAAGTAATTGCGGACTTGGTCAGAAACCCAAATTTGGAAAAGCCTTACACTGCCGTTAAGGATAGACTTATTGCAGAATTTTCCTTGTACGAGAGTAAAAGAATTCAAACTTTACTTCAGGACCTTGCATTGGGGGATTCTAAGCCGTCTGCCTTGATGCGACATATGCGAGAATCAGCAGGATCTAATTTTTCAAATGAGGTTATTAAATCTATTTGGCTATCTCATTTACCCTCATCTATTCAGTCTATTTTAAGTGTTAGTACGGAAGGTTTAGACACTTTGTCAACTTTGGCTGATAAGGTTTCGGAAGTAACTAGTTTTTCTGCAAATCAAGTTGTAATGAAGTTGTAAATAGAGATTCACTTAATGAAAAAATAGCTCAAATGTCTACGGATTTGGCAGAGTTAAAAAACGAAATAAAATCTATGCGTAGATACCGAAGTCTATCCCGTAGTCGTTTGCGTTCCAAATCAAATGTTTCGAGACATTTTTCTCACACTTCTAAAGGTGAAGCAGAGAGTCAAACTGGCTCAACGAAAATTTGTTGGTATCATAGGAAATATGCTGAAAAAGCACACAAATGTATTGAGCCTTGCAATTTTAATTTAAACTGATGAGCTCTACTATTAGTCCGGTGGTTAATAGTAGTGAGAATTTAAAATTTAGCCACCGACTTTTTGTTTCTGATCGCAAAACTAAGTTAATGTTCTTGGTCGATAGCGGATCTGATGTAAGTTTATTGCCTATAACATTTAAAGGTTGCAGGCCAACATCAAATTATGTGTTGCATGCTGCTAACGGCACTGCTATTAAAACATTTGGTGTTAAACTTATGTCGCTAGATTTTGGTTTACATCGAAAATTTGATTTTACATTTATAATTGCGAATGTTTCAAAACCAATTTTAGGCGCGGATTTCTTACGACATTTTGAGTTGTTAATCGATCTTAAAAATAAGAAATTAATTGATACGAAAACGTCTTTGGCTCATCAAGGTAAAATCTTTCCTTCCTCAATCCAAAGTGTTAAAACAATATTTGGCANTTGCCAGTGGACGAGCCCCATACTTTATTCCACGATGATTCTCCTTGCCAGTCTGACCTTTCTTCAACTACAACTACCGAGTCTCCTTTGCCAGAAAAGGTACCGGACCCAAAGAAGTACGTTACTCGGTATGGTAGAAGAGTTCGTTTCAGAATCTGACGACTATGAAACTCCGGTGGGGAGTGATGTGGCGCCAGGCATGGTGCGTAGGCGCCAAAAGAATCAACGGGATTACAAACACACGATCGGCAACCTTGGAACTGCCCCAGTATTTAAGAAGCTTCGAACTTTACTCAGTCTCTATCCCACACAGTCCTACTTAATTTTATGTTTCTGTTTTAGCTTGTTATGTTCAGTTGTTAAATAAATGTTTAGTTTATTGTTGTCATAGTTGTCTTCAACTTAATATGAGAGGGTTCCTCCCCCCTCATATATACAATATATGTACTCATTTCTGATTTTGTAATTTTTTTAGCTTAGAATTTAAAAAACTATATGTCCACGTAATTCTGACTTCATAATGTACACAATATAAAAACATATTTATTCATATAACACGAACTACTGGTATTCATAAAGAGCATAAGTAACTGAGCTAAGAATACTAAATACATATCACAAATACATAGATTTGGATAGTGCTGCCATTCAGTGTGTAAAATAAGAATTTTAAGAAAACACTCGGCAGAAGAGAGGGATATTTTTAAACCTTTTTGGTGCATTAAAAACAACATGAGATGCATTTGGTGCATTTTGAATGCTCTAGCTCGGAAATATCACGGGCACAAGATTGGAGACAAAAGCTAAGCCCGTGATTTTGACGGGAGTGAGAGAGAAGGGGAGGAAAGGGTTTAAAGAAGGGGTTAACAAAGCAGAAGAGATTAAACCTTAAATTTTATAATATTACTAGAAACAATTAACATATTTACGTGAATCTTATGCAGAGACAAAATATCTTTATTATACAACGAAAAGCACACCTACAGTTTATGTAAATAGTTTTTTAAATCAATCCGATAAGGAAAATTAAAATTACTTGGCAAACAATTGACCACAAAAAATATATTTGATCAATCTGTGAAGAGGATTGAAACTTACTTAGTATTAAATAGGCTATAATTAGTTTGTCAGTTCTATCCAACAAGCACTCACAATTAAATAGTACACAGTCTGTAAACAAACCGCCATATAATTACTACTATCTTTAAATTATACAATTATTCATTTTTAAATTTGTAATAAGGTTCCAAAATTTTTTTTTATGCTTTTGAAATATGCCCTACCATCATTTCATACACGAGTTTAAGTGTAAAATAATTATTCAAGCTCCGAAAAAAACACCCTCTAAGAAAAAAAAGATTTGAGGTTGATGTAATTTTTGTTAATTATTGGTATATTAAAATTTAGTTTTTGAAGATTTAATTTTGAAAATTTTGAAATTTATAAGATTGCCCTATTTCATATTATCATAAAATAAAGTATACACAATACGCATTCACATATATCATTACGCATTTACATATATCACGTGCATTCACACAATGTATAGATTTTTACAACGCCAAATTCGGATCGGTTTAACCACAGTTTTTAGAGTTTATAAACCTGAATTCACTGTCAACAGTTCGCTGTAAAGAATGGAAATAAGAGAGAAAAACACATATTCTTTTTAAAAGAGCTTCAGGATTTCGAAAAATAGCAGAAGAATTTATTTTTTGTATGGAAAACTTTTAGGTTACTCCAGAAAAGGGGTAACTTTTCTGAAAGTTACTTACATAAGTTTATGTTAGAGACAGAAGAAGGTGTAATGACAGTCGTTTTTCCCTTTTCTCATTTGACACAAGAAATAAATAAAATATATCTTACATTTTGCCTTTTTTCGTATAATATTGCTCAATGATTAAATAATAGAAAAAAAGTATTCCCCTTGAAAAAAAATACAGCAATAGTGGAAAGCTGGTAAATAGTTAAATCTCTATAAACATATAATTTTTGCATCATTACTTAGTTACATTTTGACTGAAACTTGGTGAAATTTTCGTAATAATGGACTTTTTGTTGTTATGCCGTATTCGCTACCTGCAGATTTTACAGTGTTTTATTTAAAGAAACAAATATCAATCACAAAACTCTTTTTAAGCAACCAAATCTAGAACTCAAATTTCAAAATTCTTTTTACCTTTCAGGTATTCGAATGTTGGATGGTATTGTAAATGATGCTGTGGAATCGGTGTCTATAGCCTTTAATGTGGAACATATCGACATCTTTAGTGCCTCATGGGGACCAAATGATGACGGCATGACCGTAGACGGACCCAAAAGGCTCGCCGTTGAAGCATTAGAAAAAGGAATACAAAGAGTAAACACTAATTTTCTTTGATAGAAGAATTGATGTTCGTTTGTCTGTTTGTAAAATGTCTTCAATGTTCGAAACTTAAGCTTTTGGATCTAAATACACACAGTGTATTAAATTGTCTCACATAAAAAGGATTTTTTATTCAGTATAAAATAAATGCGGAATCCTGTTTCAGACTGGGACAAAAGTGAATCCAATAATAATTTCGAAAATAAGTATTTTGTTTTAATTTTTTTCTGGCTATAAAACGCTACAGCTTCGTTTTTTTTCAGCCATGCTTTGAATTTTATTAAAAAATAAAATGCAAAAGCAAATAAATTGCTTTTTAATTAAATGTGGTTTCACAGTCTGTATTTTTATTTTTACGTGTGGAACAGTCTGCACTTTTATTTTTTAAGGAAAAGTAAAATAATTTCTTAATAATATTTGTAAAAATTTAATATTTACATCGCAAATAAGGATTTATACAATAAGGAATGCTTACGACAGAAATTAGAAGAAAGATTTTTCATACATTAAATCATAGAATGAACATCATTGTATAAAGGCATGTCTAGTATATTTTAGGCCTATCCTGTATTTTTAGACGTATCCTGCATTTTTTAAACTCATTCTACATTTTTTTGGCTTATCCTGTAATTAATGACACTTTTACTGTCGTATTTAATATATTATTTTATTAAGATTACAATAGGCAGTGTGGAGGGAGAAAACATGAATATAACTAAAACTAAAGTAGATATGTACAAGCCAGAGACTGAATTATATCACTTGACTACTGCCATTCAATCAATAGCCATAATGTTGTTAATACTATTTTACATTGAAATGAAAGGTATTCCAATCGGTTGCCACTAGTAACTAATTAAACATTGATAAATTTTCATCAGGGGTAAGTAAAGTTACATAAGCTCAGACATCTATCTTAATTAATTCTTTGAATTCAAGAACGGAGTTCATGGTGATTGCTGAATGTAAGGAATTTTGTTCCTAAGACCATGCCTAAGAAAAAATATAAAACGTTAGTAAAGTTCCGAAAATATAATACTTTAAAGCCATTACATCGATATCTATAAATGTCTTGCTTTTCTTTTATTATTCTACTATTAAAAATTTTATTTCTTGATGAGAAAAAATTTTTTTTTTACATTTAATTACTTTCCGATTCTAAAATTTAAAGTAAGAGCTGAGACCAAGAATTATATTTAAAAATCTACAGGAATTAAAATTCTTCTGAATAAGGAAGGTTGCTATTATATTAGTCCAGTTCGTTCAGTCTAGTTCAGTTCCAGTTCCCAATGAAGTCTATTAGTTTTCTTCCTTAAACCAATGACACTGATGTTTATTTTCAAATATTTATTTAACATTTTATAATTATAACATATTATAACTATTATGGATGGTAGTGATTACATTTACAAAATATTTACTAAATTATAAAATTACTAAACTTGATTCAAAATTTAATTACCAAAAATATGCGGTTAAAAAATAACAGCCATCCTAATTACGTTTTACTGTCACTCACAATAAATGAGCTTCTTTTATCAACCTTACCAAAAACGCTATTTTGTAATCAATAGTTTGTAATCAATAATAATATTTTCTTTTTAACCATTTCTTTTGGATAGGGTCGAAACGGAAAAGGAGTTATCTACGTCTGGGCTTCTGGTAATGGCGGATCAAAAGGTGATAACTGTAACTGTGATGGGTATACGAATTCCATTTATACATTATCTGTTGGCAGTGCAAGTCAAAGAGGAGATTTTCCCTGGTACGGAGAAAAGTGTGCCTCAACCATGACAACTGCGTATTCAAGTGGTGCTTATTCAGACCAAAAAATTGTAAGAACTTTTTTTTCTTCTCTTATATGTTTTTTGATGTTAATAAAAGGTATTCAAGTTTGCATCGAGAGGAAAAAGTATGGTTAAAACTACCACGATATACATTTCAAATGTTCTTATTTCTAGAGGTACACCAAAAAGCTCAGTAATTTTAACCGAAGCTCTTCGGTAAAGTACGGCAATAAAATTTACTTAATAGGATAACAATAAAATATGTGATTAAATTTGGTAAATGTGGTATAAATTTGATAATCTCATCACGATATCTTAAAGAATGGCATAGAAACCAATTATTCAGTTAAATTTGCTTTTACGTTATGCATTTTTCAGTAAACGTGTGGTGTTAAGAATTATTTTGAAAACCAAAATTTTCGGTAAACTATTACAGTACAATATAAAAGGAAAATATACCAAATGAATGGTTTAAATAAACTGTATTTAAACCATTTATTTGGTAATTATTACCGGAATTTTCGTTTTTCTTTTCAAAAATGTTTACCATACAGTATGGTGGTTTAAACAGCATTTTTTTGCCGTGTAGTAATAACTCATTCCTTTTGCTACTTTTTTTCGTGTATATATATATATATATATATAGCACAATAAAAACAAAGAGAAAAACGAAAATAATTAATAAGTTTTATTAACTGCGCATAAGCTGCAANTAAGAAAAACAATAAGTTTCATTTATTGCGCATAAGCTGCAAGTAAATAAAACTCATAAAATAAGTTCAAAAGGAAGATAAAACAAAGGAAAATTACAGGTTAATGAAAAAAGGGGGGAAAAGAAAATTAATAATAAAAATAACAAAAACTGGGGGAAAAAATCAGAAAAAAAGGATAGAATTCTTTTAAAGATGATAGATGATAAAATGAAAGATATAATCTTTTCCTCAGCCCACACGATTATATCAGCAAGAAAGAATGCTTTCTAATATTGTATCAATATAGCCAAAACAAAATATATCAATGCAATAGTGTGAGGAGCACTCAAAAAATTTTTACAAAAATTACAACAAATAAAATAGAACACAATAAGTAAAAATAACACGTAAAAACAGAAAATAAAGCATTAAGAAAAAACAGAAAAAAACATAAAACATAATCTATAAAGCGAGCAGCGAAATCAAATGAACTTACATGAACGGGAAATTAATATGGTGTGTATTCAAACATTAGGTATCATTGTACATTATTCTTATATTTATCATCAGTTTAAAAGTGTAATGAAAACTTCAAGTTTTGGAAAAAAATAATTCATATCTTTGCTTACAGAAAAATTAATATAGAAGTAGAATTTCATTATTTGTATAATATTCTTTATACACAAATATAAATGAACGAACTAGTAAAATCTAAGTTTAGAAGCTCTTTATTATATCCTCACTGAACTAAAAATGCCAGTTTATGTGAAACTCATAGCAAGATGTATTTTTTATTGCATCATTTATCTTTTAGGCTACAACTGATCTTCACAATCAATGCACGGTTCATCATACAGGAACATCTGCTGCCGCCCCCTTAGCTGCAGGAGTTATTGCTCTCGTCCTGGAAGCTAAGTAAGTATCAATCGAGCTATAAGCTGACTTTCCAGAAAAACAACTTTACTACTGAGTATCAAGATAAGGTATTGAAAGGAAAAGCTCTTGAAAAAGTAATAACGTGCACCTTTTAAGGATTAAGGACGTACATAGAAACTTAAGATCAGAAGTTTTATTCTAAATATCTTTTAATATCTAACTTATCGAAATAGAAATATAAAAAATTTAATAAAAATTGATAATTACATGAAATATGGAGATAGTGTTTTTAATGCCATATATATTCAAATGTGATATAAACAGTTGGTTTATTAATTAATAAAAACTGAAATACTTTAATAAAACAGTTATAAAAAATAATTAGTAATGAATTTGAAAAAATGCGTTTTAAGTTTATTTTAATTTTATGTCTTTATTTCCTGTTTTGGCAAAAGTACTTACTTTGATTTGAAATGGCCGTATAAAGTTCCAATGAATACAGTGGAAAAAATTCATTTTCTAATTTTATGTTCGGTTTAATCCTTTGACGAATATGGGACACCGGTGTTCTTTTTTCTGACGATCTTACAAGCAAAAATAAAGTATTTTATTTTTTAATTATAAAAAGCAATCTGTTAATTACTGAAAATTTTGTTGGAATATCGGAATTATATTTCTACCAAACTATATAGAATTCGCAAGTAACTAGTATGTAAAAATATTTTTTATTCATACTCAAAAATTTATCAATAATTAATTTTGTAAACTAAAGAAATTGCAATGATGAGTAACTGGTTCTTTTAGATCTAAATAGGTAATTGAAAGTAAGTGCAAATAACAAAATTATTGTTCGGAAGTGAGCTGTGTCTGGAAGCTTTTACGTTTAGAGGTGAAAAGATACAGATGTTTCACAACCACAAATTTTTAAAACATTAAATGCAATATTTTCATTTATTTTGACATAAATGAACAAAAAATAATGAAAAAGTACGAAACATATGCTTTATAGAAATTCTTCCTTAAAGGGTTAAATCAGAAGAAAAATGTAAATAACTATTTATTAGGTACAACATTTATTCACAAATTAAAGCATTAAAATTTCGAATAATATTATAGTCTCCTTGTACAGATTTAAATAATAAAAAAAATATTATTCGATATCATAAATAACTACTTCTATTTAGATAGTTTAGTTTCTAACAAAAATATTACCCAAGTAATATAAAAGTAAGTTTAATTTATAGCTTGATTGCCAGGTAGGTGTTAAAGCCTCTCATAAATTACTGCAAAATTCACACTCAAAAATTAATAATAAATATCTGTACAGTGGGCATGAAAAACTAGAATCCTCCTGAATTACTTTTTGCGTAATTATCCTACATGTACCATAAGATATAGTTTAATATTTCGAGGGAGTATCTTAAATACGTTAAATAGTTAATACTAACTACCTATTTAGTCGTAAAGATATTTTCCATAAATGTATTTTCTTTGCATACAAGTTGATGGATATCTATAACGGATTCTGGGTCATCGAGATTTAAAGAAGACAGTCGAAATTTGGAATTGGTAGTATGACCTAAAGTTTATTATAAAGGGCTTTACTTTCTACAGTTCCTTGTTCTAATCATTAGTAATTCCTACTGTAATTGCTAATTGTACGATTGAGGGTTAAATAACTAAATATGAAGTATAACTGTTATTAAATTGCATTTATCTGATAGTTTTTTTCTTTCAATTTCAAGATTTATTTAAGAGTATAGAATTTCACGCAAATGAATTATATTTTATAGAAAGGTATTTTATAAACATGAATAAATAATTACATGAACAAGCAATGGGTTAATTAAAAATTCAATAATTTTTAAAAATTCCGCGTGATATATTTTTTTGATGCAATTATAAATCTCGTTTCAGGCAAATTTATTAATTATTAGTTTTTGTTACTAATTAACACTGATCAATCTGTTGCAAATTAATACTGCTAGTTAAACACTGATCGAGAATTACGGTATAAATATCTATTAAACTCACAGAGGGTCAAGGGAATGAGAAAACGAATTTTCAAATACTTATATAAACACGCATGAGAATCGTTTGGCTTAAATATAAAGTAAATGGCAATTTAAGGGAATTTTATAAAAAACAAATCTTGCAATATTGTAAAACTACATGTAACAGTGAAAAAATTTAAAAAAAAAGCTTGCCAATGGTATCTCAAATGTCAACAAAAAAAATTCGACAGATGATTGCGAGAAATAAGAATCGACAAAACAATCAATTGCTGTTTAAATTTAAGCTATTAAGAAAATAAAAAATAAAATAAAAAATTGTGATTCATTTTTCCCTTGAAATTACGTAACTCAATGCACTAAAATAGCAAAAAAAATGATTTTTATCAACAATGAAATCTTTGGCAATCATTTTTATCAATGCTTGAAGTTTATTTTATCAGAAATACTAAAAAAAAAACCATTTCAAATACGTAAAACAGAATAAAAAAACAAAAAAAAAGCATTAAAAAAAGCAATTGTAAAAAATAACCACCATTCTTGTAATAATATATTTCAAAACTTTTTCATTTATAAAAATTTCCTTGAAAAAGTAATCACAAATTTTATTTACTTTTTTGGCTAAAATCATTTTCCGAAAAATTAATAAGTATTATGCTCTTATGTACCCATACAATACACTATATGTTGAAAATAAAGACTCGTCCATGTTATAAGAATCCTACCCTTTATACCTCATAAAGCTGTAAAATATTATGTAATAAAAAGGAATAGTCAGAGTAACGGATACCAACCATATAAGCAAAGAGAAAAAGAAAAGGAGGAGATGAATAACTCTTGAAAGTGTGGCATTTATATCATTCTTTGGTAAAAGTTGTGACTTTTCTTAAGGCATATTAAAATAACTCTGGAGAGAATAATGAAGGAATATTTTATCTATCTTTCCAATCAAAAAGTTTATAAATCTTCAATAGCATGGCATTAATTGGTCTTAAATTATTCCTTTAAATTTTTGGATAATAAAGCATAAGGTATTCTAAGATTCCGATCATACATCTACAGTTTACCCTCTCATGACCAACCGAGCATTTAAATATTCAATCTAAAATACCATTTAAGCGCCCCTCAGTTTAGATGAAATGTCGGATGAGGTAAATACGAAGAAACACCGAAAAGGAAGGAAAATATAGAATATATATATATATATATATATATATATATAGGGGCTAAGACATTTTCAATGTCGTTGAGGAATAGAAAAGGCAAGAGGGGTCGGTCAATTCAAAGAGATTTATATTTACTCAAGAAACCTAGAAGTGTTGTGATGATTTCTTTGGCATAAAAGCTTAGCAACATGGCAGGGAGTATGTGTAATAATTCTATTTAAGTTTTATGACTCCCACTGCGGAATTGTCACAAGTTCTAGGAATGTTCATTTGGAGTAGTTCAGTACTGAAATGAACTCTGGAACTGAAGCTAAAAATTACTTGGATAAATATACAACTGTCGCACTTAGACTTCGTATGTATAATGAAATACTTTATTATACGTCGGAGAAATCATAAAACTTAATATAGTATTGAAAATAGTTGGTGTTTTATATGTGATGCGATGTTTGAATACTAGCAATCAAGTATATTTATCTATGTCAACTATTGTTTTCAGCTAATATTTTTTATAGATCTTTGTATAGATTTATGCTGGCGTAAATATCGGGTGCNTCATGCAATTTAAGATACGAATGCAATACGATTGAAAATTGAATAGAATATATTCTATCAATTTTCATTTTTTTACTTGTAGCACCAATACTTATATGAGTACACCAGGTAAAAGTTTTGCTAAATAGTTTAACATTTTATTTAATTCTATATATGATTCAGGATTTATTTTGATTATTAAAAATAATAATCAGTCATTATTTTTTATGTTTAAGTTTATTAAAGTTAAGTTAAGTTTATTAAGTTTATTATTAAGTTTATTTTAAGTTTATTAATAGTAATTTAATTGCACTTATTGAATCTTTTGACTTCAAGGATCTTTTTTCAAATGTTCCACTGGACAAACTTGAAGATATTATTTTCTGATACTTTTAAAATTTTAATAATATTCGATTTATCGATTTAAAATGCTGGTGAAACATTCTTAATTTATGTATTTTTAATAACTTTATCTTTAATATGAGGGTACTTTCCGTAGATCGTGGAAATACCACAAAATAATAATCAAATTCAAAGACTTAAAAAGATTTAACATATTATAGTCAGAGCTCTTTAAATTGGAGATATAGAAATATTTTAATGATTAATAATAACTCTTATTACTTTTATGCTGATGACATAAAATGAAATATTAATTTTTACATTGAAAAACTGGATAACCGTGCATCTGTTCAATGAGAATACACCGACAGGTCATCGTTTTTATCTGATTTTTATGCATATTGATCATCTTTTTTTCACTTCTCATCAATTTCTTATTTTGATTCAATGACTTTAGATTCTCTATTTCTTTGTATTCCCATTTTTTTCTTATTCTCATTGATAGGCATTTTTTCAACACTCAATTTCTTACATTTACGTTTTTCTTATGTGTTAATTTAAAGTCTGAAAAAGAATTTAATCTAAGAAAAATAAATAACGTCTCGAATTTTAAAATCATTTCTTTATCTAATTTGTTATCGGGGTGTTTAAAATTAAAATCAAAAACTGCTCAGAAAATGTATGTTCATGCAAAAAAAGTAGCTTTTGGCATTAAATTCCTTAATTCAATTAATAACTAGTGCTAATTAAATACTTGCCTTCTTGAATCTTTAGGAATTGAATTTAAGATTGAGTTTCATAACATGAAAATCCAATTATTATTTCTAATTATATGAATAATGTTTTTTGAAACTGAGCATAGGAAAATTAATCATAAACATTTAGAGTCCTTAATATTCAAAAATTGATATGTCTCAGGAAAAGTGTCGAAATTTTTTTATTAAACAGAAAAAAAGATTTTATTTTCGAGGAGTGCAACTTCTGTTTCAATTAATTACTAAAACTAATTTTATTAATGTATGTATTTTTTCAAAATAAATTTGGATTTAGAAAATAAGACATTAAACAAATGACTATTTTAATTTGCATTACTAGTTAAAATCTTTAAAGAGCAAAACAAATCGTTAATGTGCTAATTATCTGTATAAATATAATATGCTAGAAAGGAATAGTAAAGTGAATACGAGATCAATTTAAAGTGGTTTATTAATTAACATATTTTCAAACTAAAATAAATATTCTTTATTTACAATTAAAATTTGAAATTACATTTTCCGCTTTCATTTGCGAACGAAAACTAAATTAATTTCTTTTGGCTTTAGAAACTACATCTTTCCTTGGAAAAATCAATTTTAATAAGAACGGGAGTGAAATTTTCATTTAGCAAAATATAACTACTTTTGTTGTACTGTTAGTAGAAAAAATTTTCAATTTTGTTTCAGGCTTCCTTGTTCTAAACTCTGAGGAAATTGTCTATTTTTTCGCAATTTATTTATTCAGATTTCTGCTTTAAATATGAATAACTAATTTCAAGTTGAATAAAAGCTTAAGTAATTTCAAACAATAACCTCAAATATGTTTTAAAAAAATAGGATAAAGAAAAGAATTTTCGCTTTACTCTTTAATTTAAATTCGATTGAAGCAGAATGATTTTTGTTTTGCATTCGCTGAATTGTAATTTCTTTTCCAAGCAATATTCAATCCTAATTACCACATTTGAGGGTTAAATGTATTAATTAAAATTCGAGAAAAGTTTTAAAATATAAGATAAAACTATTTTAATAGTACAAAACTGTTAAACACTTTAGTGCTAATAAGTAAACAAACTTTTTTGATTTCATAACAGAGATGGCAATTGCTCTTCGATTAGTATGGCAGTTTTAATATGAATTATTGCTTTCAGTTGACCCTTGTGCTACCTAGTATGTATTTGTATCATAAAAAGCTTTAAAAATCGTGTCATGTTATTTCTTTATATCAATTCCTCTTATTTAATTTATAATTTAAAACGAAACGCGTTCTCTCATTTATTATTCATGTATGGCATATTGGTTCTAAATTTAGATTAAAGAATGCTAGAATTAACAGTTTAAGTTTTCCCCTTAATCAAGCATGAGAACCAGAGAAATTCCTCGACTTATACGAGTCATAGGAAATAATTTTTTAACGAGTCACAGGTAATAATTTTTTAACGAGTCATAGGAAATAATAATTCCTTTTTTGCATGTGATTTAAGAGGTTATGGGGATGAATTTTCAAAATTTCATTTATATTTATAGAGAAGCATTTCAATTTTGTGTGATTTGACGTCTTACATTTGTCTTACATTCCATACATTGATAATAAAATAAAAACTGTTTGGTTATTCACCCACATGTTTACTTTATTTCAATGATAGGCCACACTGCCTTGATATATATTTCAAAAAAGTATATACTTAAACCGCGGTTTTCAAATTCCTTTTGCTTGTTCAAAAATTTCCTTTATTTTTTTTCTAAATATTGGGATAATATAATGCATGACAGTATTAAAACTGTGGTAAGCATTGCTCTTAATTATTTATATTTGAAATGATTATAACGTATAATACGTAGTACAAAAGATTTGTCTTCATTAATGCCGCAAAATTTCAGAAGATGTTAAAAATAATGCTAAGATGTTTTTCACTAAGTCTAATTTGGCAAACAAATTTAAAATCGACTAATAAATTAATTACAACTAAAATACTTTCACTTTTCAATGAAAATACTTTTCCGCTCTTTCAGCATTTTAGAGCTAAAATATTTTTTGACGTATGGAATAAAAATTTTACGATGCATAGAACTATTCAATTCTGGTTATATATAATAAACCTAGAAACATACATAGAAAGCATATTTTTATTCATTTTCATTACACGGAGAAAAATCTATTATCTCTCACTGCATAAAATCACCCAATATATAATCGCCTAATATATATCGCCCAATTTACAAATAATATTTACTATAAATAATTATACAATAAACTAAAGAATTATTAGAATAGTGTAAATAATTATTACAATAAATATTTATACTCATTTTCATTGCCTGTTCACACATTCGTGTAAATGTATTGTCGCGATATTTTACTGTTGTGCAAACGAACCTGTCAGTCAAATAAGACGACGGGTGGGCGGTATCTGGATTTCAAGTTGTAGGGCAAACGACCAAATCTGAAAACTCTGATTAAATGTCTAAAAAGTATTATATTTTTGTTTTTATTTAAAAATGAAATTGTTGTAAGTTTATGAACAAAAAAATTACCACATTCTCAGAAATAAAACTCCCAATTTTAACAATTCAGCAATCTTTGAGCTGTATTTCGTTAATTTTGAGAAACATTTCGTCTCGAAATTAGATGATTTGAGACGAAACGTACAATCTCAAATGTGTGATGAAATTTTTTCCTCGGAACCTTATAGCTGTTACGTGCAACATTATGAGAGACTATTAATTAAAATGAAGACTAGACGATCGAAATTAGAATGACGGTACAAGATGACAGGTGTAGGGTGGTGACCAGAAGGGTGGTCAAGTAGTTTATCTCATACCAAGAAGATCCCGGGTTGACTCCCACTTCGTGTGTGGATGTAATTTAGCTCTCTGTTATGTCCATTCTTCTTTTCTTGCGTTGTCGGGATAACGTTCATTTACCTATATGGTGACCATGAAAAAGTTTTCAAAAATACCGTCCGTCCCTGAGGTACTATGAATGAATCATGATATTTTTTGGAGCAAAAATGGAATGAATTTTTTTTTTTTTAACTTTTATCGAAATTCATTTCCTCGAAGAAGCAACAATCGTCACTTTGATGAAATTTTTCCTTGGAGCTTTTAGCGGGAACCAATATCGTCAAAAACGTGTGTGATATTTGAATACCCATTTCTTACAGTGCCCTTGATAAAGGAAGTAATAATTGTTTATATTGATTTAACAGTCCAAATTTAAGCTGGCGAGACGTGCAACACATTGTAGTCTGGACGTCACAGTATCACCAGTTGAGCCATAACAAGGGATGGAAAAAGAATTCAGCTGGTTTAATGTTTAATAGCAGATTTGGTTTTGGATTGATTAATGCTGAAGATATGGTGAAGACAGCCTTGAACTGGACAACGGTGCCTGAAAAAACAATTTGTAAAGCATCTGCATCGGCAAAGTAAATATTAACTATTCATTCATTCAATTTTACAATTAAACTATTTTTTCTCTTCAAATGTCCCGGTATTCTCTTAAAATTAGAATTTACATAGAAGAGCCATTACATTATGACCATCCTGCTAATAACATGTAGGACCACCTTTAGCCCTCAAAACTGCTAGCACCCGCTGTGGCATTGATTCCACAAGGTACTGATAGGTAGTCTGAGGTATCTGGTACCAAGCGCTCACCAACTGGTCCAGCAATTCCCTCACATTGAGAGGGGTAGCTTGGCAGCACGAATTTGGTTTTCCAAGTAGGATCACAAATGCTCTATTGGATTAAGGTCAGATGAATTTTGGGGCCAAGACATGAAGTCACTGGAATGTTCCTCGAACCTATCCATGACGATTCGACCCTTATGGCAAAGTGCATTATCCTGTTGGTAAAGACCATCCCCCGCAGGAAAAACTGCTGCCATGAATGGGTGAACCTGGTGTGCAACTATGTTCAAGTTGTTTATAGACGTCAGGGATTGTTCTATGAAGATTATGGGTCTTAATGTGCGCCATGAAAACATTGTACCTGGACGAGAAACCATGAAAACCTGAGCGAGCCCATTGTCATAGATGGAGGGTGGTCAGAATGTAATGGTTCTTCGGTGTATAATTAGTTTGTTGTTCCTCACTTCATCTCTCGAAACTCGAAAAAAATGGAATTATAAGAACAAGATTAGAACAATATATTTTCCGTTACATGAGATTTTTTTAACAAATCATAGAAAGTTTGTATCGCTTACTTCAAATCTGTAATCGTTTCCTCTAAAGTTTTTATGTAATTTAGTAATATAGTCCGAACCAGGATTTTTCAAAATTCAGTAGTGGGACTACTCAGTGTACCGCCCACTTCTTCTGCTACATAGAAAGTGGTAATATTTAATGTTTTTTAATTTCTGATGGGATAAGTTCAAGTCATGTTTTTTTCTGTTAAATGTTATTTTCAAAAGAGCAGATACGTGTATATGTATGTGTTCGCTTTTTATAAACTTTTAGATTCAGACGAAAAGTAAACTAAATTAAAAATACCATTTTGATTAAAAAAATATCAATAGCTTTGGAGACAAAACTAACTTCAGATTTCAAATCCCTATACCAGCATTAGGTAATAACGAGTATTTGTATAAATGCATTGAAAAGTCAATCCCTAGTATAATCAATCAAATTCATAAAGAGTAACTTACAACTGACATTCTACAAAAATATGTAGCCCACCTTTATGCCTGAACAAACATAGTATATTAATACGTTTTCTTTTTATTTTTCAATATATGATGCTTAACGTATATACAAGTTTAACTGCTTTTATTTAGGCTACCTAAGCAAATCTCTTCAGAATTAAAGGAAGTTCAAGTTGAAATTCCATCAGATGCTTGTCGTGGAACTTCTGAAGAAATAAACTTCTTAGAGCATGTTGAACTAACCCTTGATATTGATTACAACCATAGAGGAGCTTTAGATATTTATCTCTTTTCACCTGCAGGTAAAGTTAACATTGTTTCTTTATTATTATTATTTTTGTAATAGTCAAAAGCATCATTCTAAATTAATTTACATCTTACACCGATACTTTGAGACACTATTTCTGTAGCACAATAAATTACATATCAAACATCAAATAAACTTAGTTTCTAGAATAAAGCAATATCGAATTACGAGTATTGAATATTTCACCGTGTACCTTGTCTAAATCTGTCATTAATTTTTTTTATTGATACCGTTCTCATATCATTACGTTATCAGGTACACTTGTTTAGTTAAATACTTTTGATCACTTAGCAACCCTTAAGAAATATACAAACAATGTACTTTGCCATTAAATAAATTATGTAATGGGCACTATTAATTAATAAGAATTTTCTTAATTTTTAATTATGTATTGATACATTGATGAAGATGATGATTTAAAATTAAACAGTATTCGAATGCTCTAATGTTTACGTCGTTATTTTAAATCTGGAAATTGATTTTTAGGGGAGAAGAACCAAAACCAAAAATAACAAAACTGAATAGAACCACCAAAAATAATAAAATTACATTTGAAAATTTAAAAAAATAAATATATATTTATATATTTATGCACTTAATAACATTAAATTTCAAAAACCTTACTATAATCAAAACCAAATACTATTTGAAACTATTGAATAATAAAATCAATTGATTGAAATAGATAATATAAATATCAATATAACTGTAAGCAAATATAAATATCAATAACCATAAAATTATATTTTCCTATTTCAATATATGATCATGAATGATTCAAAAGCATTCACGTTTAAAAATTTCATCTGGTATAGAAAATTTTGAGAGTAAATATCAATCACATCTTCATTTAATCACCAATAAATCATTTCAAATATTTGATAAATCACGTGCACAGAATCATAGCCATCACTTGAGATCACATTTTTTCACCCTAAAAGCTCTTTTGCTTCTTGGTAGTTTTTCGAAAAGGCTGAGAAAACGAAACTGCTTTCCTTCTTTTCTTCTTAGTGCTTTCTCTCCAATCCAAAAGTAAACACGACAGTTAATAGGGGAATAATTTAATTTTCTTCGTTAAGATGAACCACAAACTAACCCGATAGTGATGGAGAAATTGTGGCAGATTATTCTCTCGATTTCAGAGTAGGAGGTGAAAATGTCGCCAGCCCAGGTTCTAGGTTCATCCAAATCCAATTTTTTTCGCAGCATTGGAAATAAACTGTTCAGCATTCTCTTCAAGATCAAAGTAGCCGTGAAGAAAAGAATGAGTTTTAAAACAGCCGATGATTTTTGATATTGCGCTGTTAAGTCCAATTTCGATCTGTTCGTTAATAGGCTCAATCATTTTAGCATTTATAATTATCCTGCTCCCGTTTCATGAGGTGTAATAATCCTGCCGGCTTGTAAAATGATGCAGTCAGACAGAGCAGGAAAACAGACACAGGATTTTAATGAAAGCAAAATAATTTATTTGATCATCTTGAAATGGATGACGAGTGAAAAATGAAGTTTACACCAAATGAATTCCTTCTGGTAGGGAAAATTTTGCAAAAAATCCGAAAATTTCTGTATTTAGGGAAAAGAGGGAAATCTTAGAAATTACTATTGTTTATGAAAAAGGTCGTAAGACTTCCCACAAAGGGACAGAGGAAAAATGTCTTTACTTTTAATTATGCATACTTGAGCCAAAAATAGATTTAAGAACAGGATGTGACATTTTAAAAGTATGAGAAAGTGTTTCGATTAGAATAATTAATTAGAAGTTGTTTTATAGCGAAGAATTAACATAAAAAGATTAATAGAAGCTTTTTGCGTTATATATATATATATATATAT